ATTGATATTATTATGATTCTATTATTAACCATGTGTGTGTATATATATATATATATATATATATATCATATTTATATTTAAACAACAAGCACTTATTAATTTATGAATTATGAACACTTAAAAAAACAAGCTTCAAGTTTTTGTTGTGATAACTTGTGTTAACAAGATAAGAAAACATCATATCAAGTATAATTATTAAATCACAAGAATTATCTCCCACAAATGAAAGATAAATATATAAATGTGAAAGTGGGGATATGGTTACACCTTTTTTATTTAAATGCCAACTTACATGCTAATTTGATCGTCTTCTTTCCAAATCTGACACGATATTGGAACTGTAATGGTGTTGTTTTGTTGTTGTTGGTTTTTTTTTGGGGGGAGGTAAAATTCAGGCCCTTCAATGTGCACCTCAAGTTATAATTAAAGTATATGCTGGTATTGCAATGAAAATAGGACAACATTGCATCATACCTTTTTCAATACATGATGTAATATACATAATTGGAAAAGCTACTCACCTCTCAGTGTGGATTTTCAAGTGCCACACAAAATCTAAAGTAATATTTGGCCCATCAGTGACCTCATTTTTGCATGTCTTGCAGTAAGCAGACCTTTTTGACGTATAACACTAGTAGCCACTACAACCAAAGGTCATAACTCTGGGGATCATACCAGCACCTGTAGCTGCCATTTTGCTAACTTGTTGAATTGGCAGTTCATAAACAATGAACACATACACTGTATATATATATATCTCTCTCTCAACACAGGCTCGGTCAATTTGACTGACCACATGACCTCTTTGTACTCATTTAAAGTCTTTATAGTTTTAATACTAATAACTTTTTAATATATTTTCACAAAATTTGGCAAACTTCCAGTAAACATTACAAGTCTTTCACATATAAAAGAATCATATTTTTTAATGAAGTATTTTTAATAAACTAAAAAAAAAAAAGATTTGTACGTGAATATTTTTTTTTATTAATCCACATGCAAAGTGATTTTCATGCTACGATTAAAAATACTTTATAGAGTTAATTTCTTCATCTATGTATTCCTTCATTCATACCAATAAATTTCCACTAACTGCTGTCAAAACATTTCCACACAACCATCATAACAAAAACCTCAAACTCAACTCACAAACAAAATTGTCACTGATACATCAAACAACAACACAGCATTACACTGCAGTTTGCCATTTATCTCGGACATCAGTTCAAAAATAATTAACTCTTGGAGAAAACTTGCCATTAAACATAAAATTCCTGTTGACTTTAAATTCACCAAAACACCCGGCCCTAAACTAAAATCATTATTATATAAAAATTACATAGAATCACACAATACCAATGCCATTTATAAACCAGAATTCTACATCAGAGAAACCAGTAGATAATTGGAAACCAGATTCACCAAACATAATAAAAAAACCCTCACATGTTCAATATTATACAAGTTCTTAATTTTATAAGGCAATATTAAAAAAAAACACCCTGAATTCCCCTTGTGTGAGAAAAGTGACATTTTTTCTCTAGGCATTCTCTCTTCTCTAATTTATTTACCACTCCTCCAAGAAGTACAAAACTTAACATCTCATTCACAGATTATATATGATGGCACATAGCTTAAGCATGTACACTGTGATAGCTGAGTTCTGGCCAAGGACCTTCTTCATTTTTAGCATTCTTGACCCTGACACTGAGATTGTAAAAGTTCGCTGGTACATGTACAGTAATTTGTTGCTATCCTATACCCATGCACTTTGGAGCTTATGTAAACACAGCATAGCATGTCTGTGACATCCATTTGATGAGGTTTCTTGCATTAAAATTTAAGATTGTTTTTTTTTTGTACTTGAATTGTCAACAAGTCATTTAAGTCAAGTTGCAAGTCATTTTGTCCAAGTCCCAAGTCAAAAAAATTGTGACTTGAGACTACAACTCTGACTAAATCTAAACCTCGTATACTATGAAAATTAGCTCATTCCAAATAAAATCTATTTCTACAGTTGTAGCTGCATGCAGAAATAATATACTCACTTCTCTAGAGCTATTATTTGTTGTTTTTGATGCTGGTAGTGATACATCTGTGCACTATGGGCCAGCTTATTGTCACCATTAGGGGATGACTTCTCTTTGTTCCCTGGGCCTATCACTCCATATGCTGGGTATTCCACATCACTAGCTGCCTTGCTTTTTTTTTAAACCTAGAATATCCATAAGAATATGATAATCAATACATCTTATTTCTTGCTATAGTTGTTTTTGTAAAATTACTAATGCAACCTAAACTAACCTTTGTTTAACCTAACCAAGCTATTTATGCCTACTGCAAGGTTAAAGTCAATTTATTATTTTGATAATTTCTTAGATGGTATATTTAATATCTTTTATTTTTTAATGTATATTTGCAAGATGTAGTTACAGAAAAAAAAAGTACAAATCCTCTATGCTTGCGATGTTCCAGAAATTAAGCTTTCTGAAATTGTTTTATACATTATAATACCCAGTTTACAAGTCAATGAGATCAACACTTGGAGAATTGGGTGGGCTACAGAGAAGTGTCTTGGTTTTAGATATTCAAATAAGAACCACAAAAAATTTACTCTGATAAAGGTATCTATTAACCTAAAATAAAAAAAAATTTACTGCTAAGAGAACTCACTACTCAACACTGTTCAGTCATGAAGATGGAGTTTAGGGATTGGCCGGACTGTGTTTCTAGTGCACAAAATAGTACCAATTTTCACTTCTGGCAGGTACCACTTTTAGCTGCATTACAGTGGCAAGCAAGCTTCATTTAACCATTTTCAGTCATCTCAACATAATTCATGAAAACCACGGAGAAAACGGCTTTATAGAGCTGGGGAAACTAGATCTTGTATTGTGCAACCTGTGGTCACTACTGTATTTGTGTGGGATTTTGGATGGTGGATATGGGTTTTTTTACACCCAAATAATCTGGAAACTAGTGCAACTTTGGCCACTGGAAAACTTTGCTTGGAAATCAACCCAACAAACATGTTTCCCTGACTGGCCAACTGGGTGTTAATACAAACCATTAAAAATAAATAAAGATTTCAAACTGTATCAACAACAATTATCAACAACAAAAATTAACAGAATAGGAGTTACATTTTTATGCACCAAGCTGTGCCCAGATACAATTTACATGTTTATTCAAATTAGGTGTTATATGCCAAAAGCCTGCTTAACAGTTCAGTTACAATAATAATCACGAAAGAAAAACTGGTTTGACTTAAATACAAAAACATAATTATATAATTACCCAAAACAATAAATATATCATAATATAAATGTTTAAGTAATACAATATGAAAAATTAAAGGATTCAGTTTACATTATGGAAAAACATTTAGTTTTCAGAAGTTTTTTTAATTGGGAAATTTATGCTTTCTCTAAACGTGGTGATGCAAGCTACAGTAGTAGCAACATAACTGTGTAAACAGTCATAGTACTATTCAGAATTCTACTTACCTATAGAAACATATACCACTAGCAATCACTCCAAAAATAGCAGCTGCAGTGCATCCTGCTACAATTGCTAATAAATAAATGAAAGGTAAATATATATTTTGAAAATCTGATGTAATTCAGTATAAACTAGTCTGGAACACCTAATGGCAATCAAACTTTACTGTTATTCAAAAAGCATTTTTCTTTTGTTATTATTACCATTATCCTAATATTATGATTCTTTAAAGTAAAAGTACCAATTCAATATACTTCATCTGTATAAAAATAGCTATATTTTAAATAACACTATACCTATAAAGAGGCCTGTATGCAAAATGTTTTAAAGGTGGAGAGGGGGTTCTAATTTGTGAGATCAAAAGCCAACACATATTGTGCTAAGCACAATTAGTATGCAAAATATGTTAATGCTATAGAAAAGTTGTAAAAAAAATAGGTGCTACGAGGTTAAAATTGGAAGCAATTTTGCATGAAATATAGCTTAAACAATTACATGGCTGTTCACATAAAATCCACAAACATCCAATGAAAAGTCATCAAATCATCATTCTTTTGTAACACTGCATGGGGAGCTTGACTTAAATTGGCATACATATGTACGTTTTATTATAGTAAAGTACTGTACTATCTACATGCAGATTAGTTATTTATTGTTAAACTATATTACTCATTTAAACAACTCTGTACAACAATAATATATTAGCTATTTCAGTCATTGGCTATCATATACATATATGTATGCACTACTGAAATTACATGTTAGCATGTTCCATTCTTCTGGGGTGCTTTACCATAAATAATTTACATACAATGTTGATAGCAGTGTCATAATGATTATGTATAAAAGCTAGAGCACTCAGTATTTCTTCGGTTTGTGTACACCTCAGGTAATTATTCAACTGGCAGAGAGCAGATTCCAAGCATTCACATGAACATGAACTTAGTGGCAGTATTTTTTTTTACATCACAAAAATAGGGGGTTTGGGCAAACCCTCTCGAACCCACCCTGTATATGTGTGCCCTATAATTGTAATGTGGTATCCTCGAGTAAAACAGATTTTACTTAAAACTTACAAGATATCTCACGTTATTCAGCAGACCTCTTGACACAATACTTATTACAGTAAATCTGAATTCTTCTGAAATCAAGTTTGTGAGAATGGAACAAAAGAGACTGGAAACAATGTAAGATACCATGAACAAGTGTTATTTGATAACAAAAACAGTGTGTAAACTTGTTCTGGACAGTGGATAGTCATTTTTGCTGGACAAATTTCTCTTCAACTTGCACTGGTTGATATTATGTACCAGTCTGACTAAACCTAAAGTTACTTGGATAACAAACTTACCCATGTGATTGGTCATTGCCATTCAAACATAAGGGAGGTTTTTAACCTCAAGGTATCACCTGACCTATTACTGGAGGACACTGCTATCGACATCCTTGCATATGGCACAACTTTACAGCCATACACCCACAGACAGGCTAGGTGTTACCTCAAGAGAATGACAAAGAACAAAAGCAGCTAGAACAAAACTAACTTAATGACTTTCTTGACCATGCTTATGTGAAAACTGCACATGACAGTATAACTGACAAATTCCAAAAAAATAAATCACAGTAATATATTATATCAGATTAAAGAGGCAGAAAATGGAGAAAAAATTAGTTATTACAAGTATCTAGAAAATAAACCTGAAAGTAAAGGAATTAAATAACCAGAGCATAAAACATTCATACATGAATATTATATATATGCATATATAGATACACACACACTCACCTACAAAGTATACATCATTAACTGAAGACTTTGCATTTTGTTTCAAAATTGGATGATGGTGAGACATGGCATGGGGTTTACTAGATTCTTTGGATTTGTGTTGAATATAGAATTCATCTTTCTGGAGCTGAGAAACCTTTGGAGAAAGATAAGCCAATTTTTCATGTTGGGAAGATGCCTGGTCTATGTTTTTGCCCAACACACCTAACAAACACACAACTTATAAGTTCTATGATTTCATGTAATACTAATAACATACAATATGACTATACAGCTTAAACCTCACATTTCTTGCAAGTCAATTTATGTTTCTGAGAAGATGAATAAGTAGTTAGAAATCAACTAAGTACTAAAATGACTATTTTGTGAGATGTAATCTTGATAACCTTTAAACTTCAAACTAAAATGTTTCATAGACATTAAAGACTATACAAACAACTCCTTTTTTTCCGAGGCTTTCTTTTTTATTAAACAGCGATGGTTAAATTTCTTTTGTTAAGCACTGACTTGTAAGATATGATACCTGTTTTATCAAGATATTCCTCCTGTTCAACATCAGAAACTCTTTTTGATGGATAGACCTTCATAGATGTGTGTTGAACAACATGATCTTTCCAAAAATTACCAGACTTTATAGTACTGATGCTGTTACTTCTGGGTAACAATTTCCATTGGTGTGATATTCCATCGTCAGTTCCAATATAATTCTCTTTTTTATGTGGCTTCCTCAAGTCATTAGTTTTAAATGTATTCCTCTGCAAACTTGGCCTAACCATCATGTATGAATATTGAGGATAGCTATTTCCAGGTGAAGCATTCTTATCAACTTGCAATGCTTTATATGGATAATATGTTATCTGCTTGGGTGTACTTTCCCTATAAATGTTGGAAACTCTTCCTTCAAGTGGCACATATCCTGAAAAATTTCAAAATATATCAATAAAGTTTTAGTTTTGAAAGCCCGATTAATGAAAAAGACAGTCTAATTTATGAGGAATAAAAACAAAAACAGAATGGCTATGATATGAATTATGTTCAAGTGATAATACTTTTATTAAAATCTATCTTTTTCAAACTCAAAATGGTATGTTTTTCAGTAATGATACTATAACAATGTATGGTCTTCTCTCACATGTTTCTACGAAAATGTGATGAATCTTAGTAAAACAAAAAAAAAAGAGAAAAAATAATTTAGTTGAAATTAATGTCCAAACTTGAAGAAATTATGAAAAATAAACTCCTGTGTTGAATGAAATTTAAAGCATTCATGGTTGTGGGTTACACTAAGAGTTGCTACTGCTGAGAAAGACTTGTAATTTTTTGTTTTTCTAAATGATGATAGGTAAACTTTGGAAAGCATTCCATATGAATTCACTACAAAACAAATATGCAACAGTAAGCATCAAGTAAACTTAAGCAGTTTTTTTGCACCAACTAATGCAGTGTAACATTTTCTTTATTACTTTACAAAAGACTTTATTGAACTTTGATTGTTAAACAATTTTTTAATTTGAAGATCTTAAAAAGATTTCTATATGCATAAGATGTCACAATTTGATGTATTAAACATTGATATTTATTCAAGAATCAACATTAATGCCTATAAATTATTAAAATCCAAGTCCACAAATTCATTAATAATTATGTAAGGAATTCTAAAAAATTCCAATAGTTTTGATTGGGTTAAAAACAAAAAAAGATAAACTATTTTATTCAGTGTGAATAGTGTCCAGAGCTATAACTATAGAAAATGTAATATCAACCATATTGATTTTAAGAACATATGAAAGAGAAATATAACAAAATGTTTACTACAAGGATAATGATTTTTGTTTAAGAAATATTTTAGATATCAGCCCAAGGCAGAAATTTATCCACATCAACACCATAAAAAAACAACAACAAAAAACCACTATCCTCAAAATGAGAGCATTGTTTCAAGTTTACCTCAATTGTTATAATGTAATATTTCAAACTATACATTTTCAATTCACATACCTTCTGGACAATCCACTTAAAGTTAAAGCAGATTTTTTAAAAAAAGGGAGAGAGGAATTTTACTTCTAGTACTACTAATCTGCTATTCTACCTGTAGCTGTAGGTCACAATTTATTTTATGTGGTTTAGCTATTGTAATCTTGTTATGGGAAAAGTTGGTATATTAAACCAAAAATATGCAAGTGAGAAAATACTTTCAAATACATAAATAAAAGCAGTTTGTGACTTTGACATTTATGGCCAAACATAACACTTAACCATATGGTACCTGAATTTGGAATAACATTTCCTGCCATTGGTCCAAGGAATGCACATAACGTTGCTGTCACTGTCATTATTACCCGCCCGGCCAGGCTCATGGCTACAAAACTTCCCTATCGCCGGGCGGACAAGTTCGTTCTATAATAAATAACTTAAAAAAAAACAACTATAAACTTACGGCATGGAATATTACAATCATAACAAAACAACTCAATTCAATAAGATAAAAGCAACCCGCAGAAACTACAATCACACAAATTTATACCATTTCTAGCAACCCATAAACCTTTATGCCATGCGCGTGATTTACGTCATAACTGTTTCCAAGGGAACTCCTTCATTACGTAACTCCAATCTACCACTAGCAACTGAGGCAAACTAGTTAATCAATCGAATTCAAAGACCCTTGGCATTTTGATATAAAGGTTGCGGTTCAGTTACCGATATGTTACCAAGATGTAAGGCAGTATATATATTTGAGTTTTGTTTCTTCAGTTTCTTAAATGTTTACTTCAACAGTAACGATGCGAAAACCAAAATTATATCTTAAAATATTTATGCATTTTTTTAAGTGGAAGAGTATAAAGTTTGCGTTTTACGATTTCTAGAAAATTGAATCCCGCGTCACTTCAACATTAAACATGAAACGGAAATACTGGCAGGTTAAATTATTTCGATGAAAGCATCGGAAGACAATCAGTCACATAAGGGATGGTTAACATTGCAATTTGTACTGTCGTGACTCAGTAAAACGTGCGCATGTCATGAATCACGAGAAGAATTATGTGCTATGTAGGCTACAACACACATAACATATTCGATGACGAGGAACCCACTTTGAGACTAATAGTGCTTGGGGACGGCTTGAATGGGTAATTAAGGAAAACTTTAATATAAGTTTAACATAACAGCAAATGTACAACTTTTCGACAAGGTTCTGTCATCATCTGATTATGACAGAACCTTGTCGAAACGTTGTACATTTGCTGTTATGTTAAACTTATATTAAAGTTTTTCTTCATTACCCATTTAAGCCGTCTCCAAGCATTATTACACATAACATATGAATTTGAAAAGCAAAAAATGGAAATTTTTGTTACATTTAATATTTGTTTTATTTACTCTTGAAACAGAACGCTTTCGGGGAACCTGGGAAAGTACATCTAGTTTATATACACGTTAAACATTTACTGAGAGATTCTAGTGCTTGGTTCTAGCTGTGTTTTTTTTTAATCATGGATAGGAATAATCATGATTTCTTTTCGTAATTACATTACTTTAACTAATTATATTTTTCGTTCATTTACATGTATCTCCTTTCCATACATAATGTGCTTCACTTTTCTCTTATGCGAGTATTAACTATATATTTTCTGGTTATCCACCGTCATATTGCAGTTTTTACACTTTCCTCCTGGCAGTTCTTAAAAGTTCGGTTTCCTTTCCTTTTGAAAGAACGATATACAAGCAAGTTCATATAACCAATAATTCACTGTTAACGATGCTCATAAAATTCGTACAAAACTCAATGAGCCAGAAAAGGACACTTCAAGGCAAGCAATAAAAAACTAATAGTCGTAAACAGCTTCCAGGATGAGAAAATATGTGTTTTACACGTAGTTTTAGCGTAGCACATACGCTTTAATAAAATGTTCCACTTGTGTGAATGTAATATGTTAATTAAATAAAAGTGACACTTTGAGTGAGAACGTTCTCACACAGCCAGCAAAACAGTCTAATTGAAAGAATAAATTGCGTATAGCATTTCTTCACCCTTTAAAACAAAATATATTTGCAAGACGAAAATAATGATAAGACATTTCCAAATTATTATTATTATTTTCTTAAATCAATTTTTTTTCATTTTCTTTTGTGACGAATCCTTCAATATACCCTATATTTTTCGTCCTGGATTTAATTACATAGCTATGCAATACAGCAAAATCTGTTGTTAAGCCAGCTATAGGATACAGATTTTTCATGCGTCAATGCTCAATTTGTAACAAAATAAACGACCCGTAAAGAACATCAAGAATAATCTCATTTACTAGTCAATGGAAACATCACGGCACCAACACAACAAACTATGCAATAACTACTACAGTCGTTTTATTGTTGCTAAGATACTGTAGAAAATCAATAGCTTTATATAACTTTAATCTAACAAAGCTCAATACTGAAATATTCTGTTGGCCTAAAAGACTAATTTGAAAACAAAACAAGTCATGGATTGATCAATGAACTAAATGCCCCACATATAAACTACAAAGGCAAAGAACTGATGGTGTGTTTTATTAGATGTTTCAATTTTACATATATCTTCTTCCTCTCATTTTTTTATATCTCGGTTAAAATAACGAATTACAGTTGAATAACGTGCTGTTGTTTTAATATTGGCAGGGTGTGCTGTAGTGGGCTGCGAATATGTTACGTACTTTCTGCTATAGGCGCGTTGTAAAAGTAGCAGTCAATTTTGCTCTTCGGTTAAGAGTAGCCGTGTAGGCGGTGGGTGTTGATGATTGGTTACCTTCCCTACGACCTAGCATAGAGCTCTAAGCAGTTTGAACAGACTAAAACTCAATGAATATTCTTAAAATGAATAACCAAATGTACTGGTTCAATACGAGTTCACAACGTACGCATGCGTTTTTTACTATAGATACAATCAATACACGGTTACGAAAAATAGCCAGTTTAATAATTTGGGAAATCTCCAGAGATGAGTGTGAATGATAGGTTTTCTAGAACTGTTATATTCTATTTTAATTCTAAATTATTACTAGAGGATCTTGTCTATGTCCTCTTCAAGTTAAGTTCTCAAAATTTAGAAAAGTCACACTGATCAGTGATCATACAGATAAGCTTCGGCGACCAAGGCACATATATGGCTTTTATAAATTTTTTCTCATTCACAAATGCACCATCTTTACCATTTGTCGTTTTGTAGTTGATTTTTACAACCATTTCGTCGACTTTCTTTCTTTTTTTTTTCAAATCAGTAGTCAATCTTTTAACATGTGTTCAAAAGTCAATGTTTATACTTATATAGCCCATATTTGGCTTAGCGGTAAGTCTGAAGGCTTATAGCGCTAAACATCAGGTTTCGATACATGCGATACTAGAGCATATAAAACCCACTGAGAAGCTTTGCGCCTCATAAAAAACCAGCAAACAAACTCGCATGTTCCACGGTGGAACAGCGATAAGATTACAGACTTACAACGCTAAATCTGGGGTTCGATTCCCTCGCAGTGGACACAGCAGATAGCTCAATGTAGCTTTTCTCTAAAACAAACCTACACACCAAGCTCATATAATGATTATCACAACAATATTCAAGTAAGTTTTTACGCTTAAACTACGTTTCTTGCTTTGTTTTTGATTATGCACAAAGCTACACAAAGGCTATCTGTGCTCTGCCCACCACGGATATCGAAACCCGGATTCTAGCGTTGTAAATCCGCAAACATACCGCTGTGCCACTGGGGGGCGTGTTTCTTGCATTTGATAGGGAAGAAGGAGATGATGTTTAGTGAGGAACCTATTGAAATGAATAATTAATTGAAAAATACAATCACAGCATCTTTTACAGTAGGCAAGTTCTGATTTTAATGAGTACAATGTTTCGACCCCTAGTATCGAGTCATCATCAAGTAAAAGATACACTCAAAAAGGCAGTTGAATTTTAGAGAATGATAGAGACTCGTGATGGTAAGGGCAAGTTTGTAGATGGCGTTAAATTGATTTTTAGTAAAATGAGATGGATAAAATATCTATATAGATAAAGAGGTATTCCTGGATATCTATTTAGCTTTGATGACTTTACTAGTAGTGTTTCAGCTATTTTTCTTCTGTTGATGTCTGGTACTCTTCGGATGATTTCGTCATTGTTTTCAGTGATGATATGTTTTGTTGTCAGCAAAGGCCCGGCATGACCAGGTGGTTAGGGCGCTCGACTCGTAATCTGAGGGTCGCGGGTTTGAATCCCCGTCACACCAAACATGCCAACCTTTGTCTGGTCCCAAATCCAGGATGAGAAAGGAGGAGGGTTGGGCGTGAGGCTAGCAACTCCACCCCGTAAAAACCAACCTGCTACAAGTAACTGCAATAACAACTTTCCGTTGGTGAGTTGTTGTTACGGCCCTATGCTCCACTGGGAGTTTAAAGGAATAAAAGAAAAAATTGTCAGCAATAAAGTGCTTGATTTTAATGCCCGGATTTTGTATGATTATGGTTGTATGATAACATTTGTCGATGTTATGTTTTTTCATGAGTCGTTTCCATGATCCAATTAGGTTTTCGCTGATGCGTTCGTCATAAGGAATTGTAGCGTTTATAAAGTTGAAGTTGTTTTCATCTTTAGATATTTATTTTTTGTTTGACGTTTTTTTCTTTTAGATGTGTTGATTACTTTTAACAACTTTTTCTGGATAACTGGTTTTTGAATGAATATTTCAGAAATTACTTGTAGTTTATCATTAAATACTATTTGCGTAATACACTTCAAAGGTACCAGTTTTTGTTGTATGGAGTGTGCGGTTTTCCACTTAAGGTATTATTCTGAGTTTGTTGCTTTTAGATGATTTTTCGTCTCAAATCCTCATTATTTTCTTATGATGTAAAGTTTAGAAAGTATATGGAGACATTTTCTACGTATTCAACTGTAAAATTAATTTATGTCTTTGGTGAGATTTGTGAATCTTTTGTTTTCCTCGTCAGAGTTGAAACAGCAGAAATCATTGACATATTTCATCTAATATAAGGGCTCGTAGATGGCTGTGCTTAAGGTTTTTTTTTCTAGTTGAATAAAAATAAAAACAACTGAGTCATCTACAAAATCAAATGCAACTCATATAAATACTTTAACATTGAAGAAACCGAGAGAGAAATTAACCGCAGACTTAAGAGATATCTTAAAGGACCATCACATGTTTTTGAACATTTCAAAGAAACAAAACATATCATCACTAGAAACAATGACGAAATCATCCGAAGAAAACCAGACGTCAACAGAAGAAAAATAGCTGAAACACTACTAGTAAAATATCAAAGCCAACGTTAAATAAATATCCAGAAGTACCTCTTTAATATTTTATCCATCTTATTTTACTAAACATCTAATTCAACGCCACCTACAAATTTGTCTTTACCATCACGAGTCTCTATCGTTCTTTGAAATTCAACAGCCTTTTTGAGTGTAACTTTTACCTGATGATGATCCGATACTATGAAGCGTTGTAATAATTGAAATCAGAACTTGCCTACTGTAAAAGTGATTGTATTTTTTGAATTAAACTTTAGTATTATCTGGTCTATTAACTTTACAATGAAATATATGGTA